CAAAGGGAAACTCAATCACATGTTCCCTCTTTTCAGGTACTGACTCAAGGGGCTCTCTGAGAATGGACCCTTCCTTCCTCAGCTCACCCTCCCTTTCAAGATCACACTCAGTTCTTGTCTTTTAGAACCACAGGGAAACAGTCTGGCAAGAGCCACTGTTGTACCAGTTGATTTAAATTGAAATGTTTTCCCCAGATAAATGTGTGCTAAATAATACACCAGCTCTCCAGCCAAAGGGAAGTGACAGGCGCTCTGTAAATAAAGGCACTTAGTTGCTGGTAAAGAGCTGTAAAGTGGTTCTGAGCTGATGTTTGCTGACCAGCAAGAAGCAGCTTCACCTGCTTTATATAATTGTCACTGCAGTCTTGCCTGCTGTATATTAAAACTGCATCTCATAGACCCAACTGTCACATCGGATATACCATCCAGCATGGGGTATGCCACCTTTCTCTGTAATTGTTTTTGACAACCAGGCATCACATCTCAAATCTTTCAGAAAGTGTCTGGTCCAGAATCCCTAGGTTGGGTCAGTTCTGACACCATGTGGGCTAGAACAGTAACACCAAAAGGCAATGTGAATAGAGGAGAGGGAAAAAGAGAAAAGAGGTTTTGTTGATCTCGGAGACCAAGTAATGCATAGTGGCAAGTGTCTGAACACAAATCTCAACAAAGACTCTACCTCCTCAGTGTTAAGACACATTTTTCATGTTACACTGTATCATGTTAGGAAAACTTGCCATAAAAATGCATGGGTATTTTGGCCCCAAAGCACACACATTTGTTCTGAGTCCACATTTCTGTTCTGCTGAGTTCTGGAGACATGGTCATGTAGCTCTCAAGACAAAGCAAAGGATGGGGTTTTATGAGGACTACAGAATAAATCATAATGAAAACTGGGTAGCAGTGGCCAGAAAGCTCTGTCATTATCACTCAGGGCAAGTTAGATTTGCCTCCGCCCACTGAAAAGAGGAACACAAAATCATTTGGTACTCTAATTCCAATTCACCTGCAGTGTGGTGGTGACAAATGCCCCGATGAAGGGCAGTGAGAATATCTGAGGCCAATGAGCATTCCTCCTGGTCCAGAGCGTCTCAAGGAGGGACACAGTGGCAGGGGAACCTAGTTTGTCCCTCAAGCCCCATGGGCTGGGACGAACCCAAGGAGTGCGCTGCATGATGAGCAGCCCAAGGTGAACCCAGAGCACTCACCCATCAGAGAGAAAGTCACTTCCTGTGCTGATGGCCAGGAAAGTCAGAGTGTCCCCAGAGGAGAGTGTTAGAAACCAAGGGCAAGAGAAGAGCAGACAGAGTAAGAAAACAAGGGGAAATGTGGGCTCAGTGCGTCTATAATTCTGACAGTCTCTCACTGAGGGCAGAACAGACTGCTTGCCGGCTGCTGGCAGCATGGGCCCCATTCCACTGCGGACCAAGAAACATCCTCTAAGCCACAAGCCCTAAGATACATCCTCTGCCTTCTTCTGGCCCCTGCGTGCCTGTGTGCGTGCATGAGTGAGTGCATGCGTGCGTGCGTGCATGTGTGTGTGTGTTTAGGGGGATAGGCGTACAAAAGAAGGAGTGCCCTTCTCTTGTTTTTGTAAGAAAACTAAACTCCCTTTCCCTTTCTTCCTTATCTCCTCCCAAAACTTATTTTCCTTGCTTATTCCCATGCTAAAGACAGTAAAGGGAAGGCTTTTGAGAATTGAGTATGTGCAGAGGGGAAGGAAAGCATTTTTACCAGTTTGGCCATCATCTAGGATCTGAGAGGCTGGGAGCTGGTTTCTGAGAGCTGGAAGGAAAACCCATGTCAGATGCACACGTAACTCAATTGTGCATTGAGATTCTGATCTATGGACCTTGACGATCACAATTATTAAATTGGGAGAAAACAGACATGCACTTTTCTGCCCCTCCCACTCAGTTCCATCTCCCCCACCCTGCCCCCTAAGGGAGTGCTTCTCCTGCCTCTGCTTCTCTCCATTCCCCTTGCTAGCTCCTGCCAGGAGAAGAGGAGCGTCTGATCGGGTCGGTCAGTTTGTTCACTGGACTGGGTGTTGTTAGCTTGCAGATTATTGTGCCTTAGAGCAGTGCACACGAGTCACCTGGGGACCCCGTTAGAATGCAGATTCGGACACAGGAGGTTTGGGGTGGGCATGAGATGCTGCATCTCTAACAAGCTCCTCGGGGGATGCCCACGCTGGGGCAGAGTTGGGAGGACATACATGGAAGAACAAGTACTTAAAGGCAGGACCAAACGGTGGCTTGCCTCTTCCACTTCCTAGGAGGTCAGCTGACTGTCTCCTCATATCCGCTGTCACCTGCACTCCCTGCACAGGCAGTGCAGGCAGGAGGCAGGCGCTGGCTCTCCGGGACACAGCGGGGTAGGTAAGACTCTCGTTCAGAGCCTTGACAAGTTGCTCTGCCTGCAGCCCAGCTGAGCAAGTGGATACCAAGATTTAGATTGGGGGACAGGCAGGGGTTGGTGGCATGGAGAGGTGAAAACCAGGCTTCAGACTGGATCAGTCAGGGTTGCCTCAAGCCACTCCTAACAGACACATGAAAAAATGCTCCACATCACTCGGCATCAGGGAAATACAAATCAGAACCACAATGAGAAACCACCTCACATCAGTCAGAATGGCTAAAATGAACAACTCAAGAAATAACAGATGTTGGTGAGGATGAGGAGAAAGGGGAGCCCTCTTACACTGCTGGTGGGAATGCGAGCTGGTGCAGCCACTCTGGAAAACAGGATGGAGGTTCCTCAAAAAGAAAAATAGAGCTGCCCAATGACCCAGCAATTGTACTATTAGGTTTTTATCCAAGGGATACAAAAGTGCTGATTCAAAGGGGCACCTGCACCCCAATGTTTATAGCTGCATTATCAACAATAGCCAAATTATGGAAAGAGCCCAGATGTCCATCAACTGATGAATGGATAAAGAAGAAGTGGTATATATACGCAATGGAATATTACTCAGCCATCAAAAAGAATGGAATCTTGCCATTCACATCAACATGGATGGAACTAGAGGGTATTATGTTAAGCGAAATAAGTCAGAGAAAGACAAATACATGATTTCACTCATGTGGAATTTAAGAAACAAACAGATGAACATAGGGGAAGGGAAAGAAAAATAAAGTAAGATAAAAATAAAGAGGGAGGCAAACCATTAGAGACTCTATAGTTAAGAGAATAAACTGAGGGTGGCTGGAGGAGAGGTGGGTAGGGGGATGGGATAACTGGGTGACGGGCATTAAGGAGGGTACTTGTTGGGATGAGCACTGGGTGTTATATGTAAAGTGATGAATCACTAAATTCTACCCCTGAAACCAATACTACACTATAAGTTAACAAACTTGAATTTTAAAAAAGCAATGAAGACTAGAAGCCACTCTATTCCAAGTATGAAGAAAATCAGATATGGACGCAACCACTGGAAGGGCCGTTTCACTTGCAACACGAGGTGGAAGTTTCCACAGGAGGTGCTGGAGACCTCAAGGCAACTCGAAAAAGACCACAGCAGCCCCCTCAGTCCCTAGCAGCAAAGCCAGTGATGCTCAGAAAGCTCCCCTAAGAGCCGCTTTGAACCTCGCATCTGCTCAGGGTCGGGCTGCCGCTGCCTCCAAAGAACTAAGGCTTCTTTCCCTTTTCCAAATTCCAGATCTCGTCCCTGGGCCCCGCTCTCCTTGGCAGACGCTGGTCCAGAACCGTGCAGAGAAGAGGATTCTAGGAACGGCTGTTCCCAGCTTTGCTGCACTGTTGAACAGCTGTGGGAAGGAGATGGTGCTGAGCTGACAGGTCATGCACGTGCAGCATGACCGGTCTGGGCAGCATGACGGAGCTGAGCTCTCCCCTGTCAGTAAGATGGCACTTCTCATCCCAGCAGCTATAGTTCTCATGGGCCCTGCTCCCTCCACCTTTGGTCCTGGAATGATGGGATTCAGGCCCCCATCAGGCCCCCAAGGCCACCCATCTGGTGGAACACTTATGGCAATGATCCTGCTGTTCACGGCAAGCCTGCACCGAGGCCTCACATCCCATCCTGCCGAGGCCCTGATTAGTGAGGCTGTTTGTTACGAGGTTTGGCTGTGCTGCCTGAGACTTCTAGATGACATCTTTACTAGCAGCTATCTGCCCAGGATCCCAGGGAAAATGACAAGGAAGACGGGGCAGAGAAGAGAAGGCAGATGCGCATCATTTAACTCTGTCGTGCCTCCTGCAGAGAATGTGTGACCTGATGAGCATCACCTCTTGCTAAATGACTTCTCGTGTCCATATTGTCCCCACTGTCCAGAGGTCACCATCCGTAGGTCGGCATATAACAGGGCAAAGCTTAACAACCCCATGCAGCAATAACAATGGCAAAGCTTAACAGAGGTCAATGGCAAAAATATATACTGGAGAGAAACATTGGGAATTGTTCCGGCAGCATCTTTCCAGTGCCTGACGTTAATCAGGGGACCCGGTCATCAAGCCACTGTTTGGGAAGACTGAGGGGGTGGCAATTTATTTATTTATTTATTTATTTATTTATTTTATTTTTATTTTTTAAAAATTTTTATTTATTTGACAGAGAGACACAGCGAGAGAGGGAACACAAGCAGGGGGAGTGGGAGAGGGAGAAGCGGGCTTCCCGCGGAGCAGGAAGCCCAATATGGGGCTCGATCCCAGGACCCTGGGATCGTGACCTGAGCCGAAGGCAGACGCTTAACGACTGAGCCACCCAGGTGCCCCATGGGGGGGGGGGTGGCAATTTAAAGGCTGCTTTCCTTTCTGGGACGGCAGCCTATTCTGAGTGTGGGTGTTCAGGTCTCAAGCCTGCTTCCCGCGATGGTAAGAAGAGGCAGTGGATGCCCCTTTGAAAGCCATCCCAGCAACCGCAGGTGTCACTGCCAGGCAGGCTGATGTGAGCCTCTTTGAATTACTGAGTGAAGGATATCCCTCTTGCCAGCCCCTGTCCCCTGTAGGCACAGCAGAGAAGTATTACAGGCTGTCCTTACCTTGGGAATTAGCCTGCAAGACCCCGATGCTGTCATCAAACTGCATAGATTTGATGTTGAGTGACGCCAAGATGCATTCCTTGTCCTGCAGCGAAGTATCATCAATATTATTCTGATTGGCTGACAGGATAACGCACATGTCACAGAGGTTGATGTTGACGGCCCTTAAATCAGCCCGACTTAATGGCGTACCCTTTGGCATAGAGGAAAGGAAAAAAAAAAGAGAGAGAGAGAAGAAGCCAAAGTGAGACCGAGGGACGAGAGGGAAAGAGGGGGAAAAATAAAAACAAATTAAAGATTGAGCCAGAGCTTTGGGAAATTATTTAACAAGTATCTTTGTTACGCCTTGACATTAAGCTGGCCTAACTACATTCAAGGGAATAGGAGCTGTGTGCTAATCTAAAGGGTAGTCAGTGCTGATGGTGGCATTTCAGGCTTGCTCTCCACGTTCAATCAAGCCGTTGCTAACAAACGAGGGAGAGGAATAATGCCAGGGTCCTACATCTTCTTCCTGCTTGGAAATTGTCTTGATTCAAGAAACTGTCCTGTGGCAACCTCTGGCTTTCAGAACATAACGAGGGGGTGGGTTTCAAACGCCTGTTTATTTAATAGCAGGTCACTTCTGTCTCGGGCAAAAACAGCACCTCCAGCTAGAATTTCCAGGGCAGCCAAGGGGAAATAGCCAGTGAGCGTGGTGTGATGAGGGGCTGCTGATAGTGGCTGCTCCACCTGGAGGAGGTGGGAGGGTTGGAAGGAATGTGCATCTTGCAAAGGGGCGCGGGGAAAGGAGTTAAGCTTCAAGTCATATAATTTTATTGCATATTTTCCGCAAGAAAAAAACAAAAACAAAAACCAAGAGGGGCACCTAGGTGGCTCAGTCAGTTAAGCATCCGGCTCTTGGTTTCAGCTCAGCTCATGATCTTTGGGTCGTGAGATGGAGCCCCACACCTGGCTCTGCACTGGGCATGGGGCCTGTTTAAGATTCTCTTTCTCCCTCTCCCTCTGCACTCCCTCCCCTGCTCCCTCTCTAAAGAACAAAACCAAACAAAAAACAAGAAAATCACCTAATTGACCAACAACATAGGGATGGTTGAATATACCACTGGACATACGTTCAAGGGAAGTCTATGCAGCAGGTAAAGAGACCAAAACAGTTCTCCATGTAGGCATAGCCTTGGAAGGATCTCTGAAATAGTGGGTTAAGTGAGGGGGGAAAAGACGCACACACAAAAAAGTTGTAGATAATTCAAAAAGCATGATTTCATTTATGTAAAAAGAAATCCACAAAAAAACCTATATATCCATGAATATACTGATAAGTGCATGTACATTCAGAGAGAAATTTCAAGAAAAATATACACTAAACTAATAATAGTAATTACCTCTAGGGAGGAGAATAAGATTGGGGGTAAAGGAAAAAGTTTGTTTTGACTTTACATACTTCTGTCTTGTTTGAATATTTTATAACAAGAATATATTTGTATATTACCGGTATAATTAAAAATAAATAAGCCAGTAAACAGATTTTTTTTTTAAATCCCGTAACAACAAAAAGCAGTGGGGACGGGGGGAACAGAACAAGGAGGTAATGACAGAGAGGTAGAAAATGCAAGCTCAGGTGAAATAAAAGGATTAGTGCTAGAGGGGAGAGGTGTGACCTCCACAGCCTCTGTGTCCCTAGGAGGGATCATAGAACTGATCAGGCCAGCCCATGCTGGTGCTCCCCAGGGGCCATATGGCCTCATTTTGGAATTCACATACTGGGTTCTCCAGCCTGAATCCAGCTTCTGCTTTGCCTACATGGGGATTTGAGTTGCCTTCAACTCACTGACTGTGTAGGGAGGGGGTCTGCCAACCACCAGATATCCTTGGATCCCTTCCTCCCATTCTCCCTCCTGGAGAAGGGCCTTTGAGCTGATGGAACTTGGCTGCACAGATTGGGACCATCAACCATCTTTTATGACTCAGTGACAGTCATGATTCTGCTCTCAGCCCCCAAAATACTGCTGCAAAGGGATATGATGGAGGAAGAGGCATTTAGGGCTATGGGGCTGGGAAGCTACTAGGCTCTGGAGCAGTATCTTTTGAGAGGAGAAGAACCCCACTTTTCCAGGGATCTCTTGGTACAAAATAAGTCTGACCAACTTCCTGAATCATTTTGCCAGTGCATAAGCCTCAATTGCCTACATCCATATTCTTTTAATTTTCACCTTGTAGGGAATCCAGCAGTAATCGTGATATAAGACAATCCCTGCACAGTTGTATACACATGATTTCAAAACTCAAGAAACACAAATGACATACACAGAAACACCATGTTTCTGTGGGCTGGCTCCAGATGGGGGGTACTGTTTAAACAATGAAATATGTGAAGACAGAGATGAAGGCCCATTTTGTACAAATATATTGTGCTTGAGTGAGCTAAATTTTGGAGAGTTTAAAAAGGACCTGCAAATATGAGAGCTTATTCATATGCATACCAACAGGTGAGTGCATGTATGGAAGGGTAAAAAGAAGGAAACACACACACATACACCACACACATGCATGTGTACACACACACACAGAGACTCATGTAGCCCAGCAAAATAATAAGCTCTTTTCAAAATACTTTTAGACCCCAGTCCATGTGTCCCCAGGGGACCATGTGGAAAAGCACATGTAGGAAGACAATCGTGGAAATACATACTCAAATCTATGACGACTGAAATTAGAAAGGTATATATCTGTTTATGCTCTTCCATGCATAGGACTATTTGTTTTTCTTCAGGTGACTGTTTTTAACTACATGTGTTTACTAAATCAGTTTACTAGTTTACTAAATCTAGAATTGTTTAAAAGTTTATGAAAAATATATTGATTAGTGATTAGGAAGTAATTAGATGACTCCAAGATCATGTATCCCATGTCCTTACACTAAATTATGGAGTCTCAAACTGTTCCTTTTAGATTTGGGTCCTAGGATTTTTTAAAGTCAAGAATATCCCATGCACATATGTGCACACATACATACAAGCCCATGAAAACATTGCTAGGCTTCTAAATGAATGGAAGGCAGGGAGTGGCCAGCAGAAGGGGTTGGCAGCAGGAATAAAGAAAGAACTCTTAAATCCACTTGGTTAAAAACATAAAGTGGTACAACCAAGATTTATAGAAGCGTTAATAATGTCATAAGTAAATTGACAGAAGTAGTTCCATAAGTAAATTCTGCTATAAGCATCATAATATCTCAAAGCACTAGGTTTGGGTAGGCAAGAGAGAGAGTGTAGAGACACTGATATGGTAATGCATTTGATACCAGCCTAACTTCATGCTCGATGAGCAGCTGAACTTGGCTGCAAATTCCTTTTAATAAGGTCTCCCAGGGTTTAGCTATTCCTAGACAGAGCAGAGGGGAAGGGCTGAGTCCTCAGGCCCATAACCAGATGAAGAAGCAGACGCATGATCAAAGCTACAACTATCATATCCACCTGGGATTTTCTTTTGTGAAGGGAAAGAAGAAAAAAAACATCACTAATGTGATCCTGGACTTACAGGCAATATGGACACTTTGGGGAAGTTATGAAGCGTCTCCCATTCCCGCTTGAGGTACTCAATGGAGCCCACAAACACGATGTGCTTGAGCTCATGGTAATGAAAGTTGCTGGCACGAAGTGGCATCACCAGGTTCCGGAGGCCAATCAGGGCTGAGCTGACATCACCAAAGATGCAGACCACGACGTGACCGCTCAGGACTGTCATGGCGGCTTCACTTCGAGTCTGCAACAGGGAGAAGTGTACCAGCATTGGAGAAAAGACCTCAGAGGTTGTGGTAAGGATTAAAAAAATCACTTTCATAAAGATAAACGTTTGTTGAGTGCTTACTATGTGCTTTCATTTTTATTTCATCAATGTTACAGTCACGCCATATGTATTTATAATTTGAGTATATGTGTATACATTATACTGGTGTAATAAGTATATATAAACATATATCCACACATAACATGACCTTTTTTGACAAAGATTTAAGAAAGTTATGCCATAATACATATGAGCCGGTGCTCTTTCCTGACGATTTTTAGGGGGGGAAATAAGAGGGAATAGCAATATTTATGTTGCTTAGAAAAGAAGTCTTAGTTTCCATGAAATTGTTGATAAAATAAGCTGCCTTTTCTGGCTCTCTTGCTGAAATGATGATAAAATGGTAAGATCTATGCTAGTCTCAGCTTGAGAAGTTTGAATTTTGAGTTCTGGACTCACCAATGGGATTTCACACTACATCATTACATCAGTAGATAGAATATAACATCTTAAGCCAGGGGCTGGCAAGCTATGGCCCACAGGCCAAATCTGGTCTATACCCTGCTATTGTTTGGCCATGACCAAGGCAAGATTGGTTTTTACGTTTTAAAACGGTTGGGAAAAAAAGAAGATTTCATAATATGTGAAAATTACATAAAATTCAAATTCCAATAAAATTTTATTGCAACACAGCCAATCTTATTCATTTAGGTATTGCCTATGGCTGCTTTTGCATTACAACAGCAGAGCTGATTAGCTGTGACAGAGACCATATGGCCAGCAAGATCTAAATTATTTATTAGATGACCTTTTATAAAAAGAGTTTGTCGACCCCTGTCCACTGCTGCTTTGTGGTTTCCAGGGACATTCCTGGAGAGGCCCACCTGGGTAAGTCATCAGAGGAAGACTCCCAAAGAACAATTAAAAGGATCTAGAGATCGATCAGCAAGAGTAATAAGCCCATGTCTTCCCCCCGACCCTAGGCTTGATCTCAAATGAATGAATAAAATCACCCCAGTGAATGAGGACCCCAACTTCCCACGCAAATGTTTAGCCACTGCCACCCTTTTGCTCACTGTGTTAGTGAAGAGAGCAACACAGGAGGCCACTTAGTGGGCCTTTCTCCACTCCTCCGTCTGGTCCAATACCTCCCATTCTTGCCTTCCTTCCTCCCGATCCACCCACTGCATGCCTGGATGGCCCCATGTGGCTTTTGGGGAGGCATATTAATGTCCACTGCACATATCAAACTCTGCTTGACTTAATCCCTAGAATTGACCAGTGTATTGATTGTTTAAATGCCAATATTACAATTCACGACAATGTCAGGGTTATTACAGTAACCCCCAGGGAGAAGAAGAAGCCAGCTTTCACTGCCTGATCGTTAGAATAAAGCAAGGCTGTCACCATTATCGGTTTCCCTCTGCAATAGCCCAGGAACACCTAAGACAGGGGCTGTAAGATATGTCTTAGAAACAGTGACCAAGAAGGACCCACTGGGAAGTCAACATCCCATTTCACTGCTTCACGGAGAAGACCTAGAGTTAGTTTTCTTGGCTGCTTGGAAGTCTGAGTGCCTGGATACCGTTAGCAGAGCATCAACCAGTCTGTAACATGCTGTGATGGGGTTTCTAATTACTTTTAATTGGAGTCTAGCTCTCTTCAATGAGCTTGAGGAATACAAACTGGGTCCAGAGCGAAGGTTGGAAATCTACATTGGGAGGTGGGTAAGGCTCCAGTTAGCAAAGTGGCTGACCACAGGAGCTTAGCTCTGGGGACCGAAGCACCAATCCTTAGACCAGCCATAGTAACATCACCTGCAGAATCTTGTTGAGATCCCAGTTCCCGGAGAGTCTGATTCTACCAGGCTTAAGACCCACTAGAGAAACTACTCTCATGTACATCTGGTGCTTCTTATACATCTGTGAAGGTTTAACCCCAGCTGGGCCTTAATGGTGTTAAACCCTTCAAAGCGCAATCTGTTTGCATCCAGTAAGACTCCTCTGGCCACTGAGATACATCCTAGTCTTCTCCCCTAGATTTGAATAGCATTTTGTGCCTCATAACACTTAGCTTTAAATACACTGTTTCATAGTTACATTTTATATCTTCTAATTAGATGATCATTTCCTCAAGATTGAGGCCACTTCATATTTTCTAACCCCACAGCAGTTAGTGTCCTGCACCCAGGGGGTCCATGCAACCCCAAAGCATCTTCACATAGCTGGCTCTTCTGAGTATTCTCATCTCTGCTCCAGTGGGACTTTGGCGAGGGCTTCTTGGACCACACTGTCTAAATAGTACCTCCTGGTCCCTTTCTAGCCCATGGCCCTCCTTGATTGGTCTTCATAGCACTGGATCCGTGTCTGAAATGTTTTTCTATCTTCATCTGTTTACCTGGAGATCTTCTCTTTGCCTTCCCTGGAACATAAGCTCTATGACAGCAGTCATTGTCAGGGGCTTTACCCCTAGCCACAAAAGCAATGCCTAGCACATAGATGGCCTGTTATAAATGTTTTGTTAAATGATGTTGCTTTTCAGATGACAGAAGCAGTAACTCACTTCCCTAAACTCTTTCATGCCAGAGGGGATTTTGTTTGGATGTCAATTAGCCATACCCTCTTCAGGAATACTGGCAAGCCATTAAAACCCTGGATTCCAGATATGATACCCAGCCCTTTGCCTGCCACAGGTGGGTAACACCAGTCTGAGTTTGGATCAACAGGGCAAAAGTGCAATGAATACACCAGGATGTAAATACATGGAGCACCTTCATGATTAGAACCATTTGTGCTCCTGGTAAATTGTCCAATAGCTGTTTCTTGAGAATTCTGACTTTCTGTGCTTTTGTCTGTAACATTCACACCTCTAAGACAGCCTCTAGCACAACACTGTATTGGCTCTTAATTGCTTGATTATAATTAAACTGAGAAAACACACACATACACACATTCAGATAAAACACACGGAAAAATCTAGTGTATTAGAGTACAAAGCCATTCTGAGGAACTGGGGCAGCCCATTTCTAAGAAGGGCGGCCATGACATCAGAAATGATAGGATTTTCCCGGCTGACACAAAGAAGCAGGGCACAGCAATCTGCTATGAGAAGGCATTTGACCTTCCTGATTATTAATCCATTTTTCATGGATTATTAGCAGGACAATAAACTGTAGGGAACCTGATGTGGGCATTAAAACCTAAAGCTGTTAATAGGACAAGTCCGCAGAGTAGAATGGATTGTTATCTAGGCTGACATTCCTAGCAGAGACCAGAAGAAGCCTACTGCCAGCTACCAAGATGACCTGACCATGAAACAGGGCTCTGAGCCCCCACCTGCCCGAGGTGGACCCATGGCTCATCATTGTCATCATCAGTAAATGCATTTTGCATCACGTGCTAAGAAGGATCCCAAATATGTAAAGCTATTATCTAGAAGAAGACAAGACATTGTTATAAACAAGTAACATTGTTTATTTTATTGGTAGCATTCACATCTCTTCATGGCATTTAGTAATAATAATAAGAAGAAGAAGTAGGAGGAGGAGGAGGAGGAGGAGGAGGAGTAACTTTATTGAGTCCCCTGTGGGTTTTACTCTTTACTACAATCCTAGGAGTTAGAGTCAGTCTCATCTCATCTTCTTACAGGTAAGAGAACTGAAGTGTAAAGAGGTCAAGCAGAGCCACATCCATAGGAATTATATACATACTGCCTCCCAAGATGTCTTGCACACAGCACATGCCTGCCCCATATTGTAATAAGCCAATAAATACTCAGATTAAAAATTCCATCCTCGGTTCGTATTCTGGTGAGAGTTCTAGCTCCTTCAATCTGAGTCCCAAATTTTAATGATCAAAAATAGTTAGGACCAGGGACTGTGCCTTCACCAGCCGGTTAGGGAAACCTCATTCCTAGCAATGGCAGTTTGGGACCACAGTGGATGGCATAGATTCTGCGGCCTGCCACTCACCAGGATGACTTTCTCTATCTCCTTGGGTGCGCACCAGTGAAACATGCCGGTGGAATCGTACTTCTTCACGTTGGAGTCCATGTTGTCAATCTGATCATTGCCAGGAATTAACAAGGGGTCATGCCTGGGGAGAAAAGGACAAGAAAACCTAAGTGGAAAATGTAATAAATTATAAATGGAAAGTGTCCCCTGAGTCACATCTCAGAGTAGATGAAAGATGCAGAGAAAGTGGCTGTCACTGAAGGCCATTCTTTTGCTTGCAGAACCCATTCCTTGAAAGACAACTGCCCCAACCACCAGCACCACCTGGAAAGGCAGGCGACCTTTATCAACGAGTAATTCTGCCTTTCCCTCCTGTTCCCATTTCCCTCAAAATGGCCTTCACGTCATTTTGTGGATTTAGCCTCTTTTCATGGATACCTCTCCCTCCTATTCTCATTTTACCAGCTATCCAATCTCCCCCATGTGTGCATGTATGTGCGAGCGTGCTCACACACACACACACACACACTCACACCAAAGAGTTGTTATTAGCATTGGCAATGAAGAGGAAGGAATAGGAATAGAGCCTCATGCTGAATGACTGGCGTGAGGATGGAAAGCCAATTACTTGCTCTTTCTGACTACAACTTCTGACGTGATGCTCTTCGCAGTAAAAGCTTTAACAGGCTGCACTTTAAATATTTTAGCAATTTGCCCAATCAGATTTTGCTCTCCCCGGCTGAAGCCCTTTAAAGATTCAGCAGCATGTCACTTCAGAGCAGACTGACTACCAAATGCCCACATCTGGAATACATGATTTCAATACTAAACAACACCCTCTCTCCTTGCCTTGACAACTGTATTTGCACTCACCGTCCAATGACGGTCTCCCCCACCCCCACTACACCTCCCAACTGCAGCCTTCGTTGGATGAGAGCTCAAGCGCTGACGTATCTTAATAAACTTGTCTTGAATTCACTCTCTTGCCTTGTTTACTGGTGGAAAGGAAAGATGCTGCTACAGAGGCCTCTCCTCCAGTGGGTTGGCAGAGCCTCACCAACAACCTTAGGAATTACAATAAAATCAGGCAGGTCTAACAGGCTCACAGCATAAGAGACATACTCCTACATTTTGGGCCATATCCATTGTCCAGATTCCATCTCTGATAGTGATTCCATATCTCAGTTTTGGGGGAGGTCGTTTTGGTTTCTACAACATTGACCACATATAATTAGGACAAGTCCCAGGCACACATACCTAGCTGTCCTTTCAGGGGAGATATCTTCCCTAAATAATATCACCAATTCAAGATAGAAAATACAAATAGGTTCAAATTCCAAAAACTTATTATAATGTGATTTTCCCTCTTAAATTATCTATTTTAAGCATCACTGGATGACTATTTAGTTTTTAGTATTTCTCCCCCTGACATTTCTCTGATACGTCTCATTTATATGTCCACAACATAGAAAGTGGGACAGGGACTGAGCCTGGGGGGCTCAGTCGTTGAGCACCTGCCTTCGGCTCAGGTCATGATCCCAGGGTCCTGGGATCGAGCCCCGCATCGGGGTCCCTGCTCAGTGGAAAGCCTGCTTCTCCCTCTCCCACTCCCCCTGCTTGTGTTCCCTCTCTAACTGTGTCTCTCTCTGTCAAATAAATAAATAAAATCTTAAAAAAAAAAAGAAAGAAAGAAAGTGGGACAGGAATCTCTCTTACATGATCCACAGACCTAGAATTAAGCTTTCGGGATATCAGGATATGTATCATGAACACCCGCCACTCCCCCCCCAATACTCACTCCACCCCCACTTAAGATGGGAAAACTCTCACTGCATTTATTTATTCCTGAGGATTTGCTTTTAGGTGATACCAAATGGCAAATACTGTGTGAGGCAATTCTGCAAAGTTATCTTCACCAAACATGCTAGATTACTATAGGAACTGTCATATCTAATCTTCAAAGGAGAAAAACAATCCACCTTGGAACAGCATCTCCATAGCTGTTGGGAGGTCTTAAGGTGTTGTAAACCACCAGGCCACCTTTCAAATACTGAACTCGGTCAAAAATGCTAAAATAAAAAGGCAGTTGCTCCTAAGAACTGGTCACAGATCAGGGCAAGAGCAACTTTTGATTTCTTTTTCACCTTTGAAACATCTTTAATAGTTTTTATAGATATCTGTCTGTGATAGGTAGGTGGACAGAAAGCACCAAAGAGAGGAGATTTCAGAAAATAAACAGAATGAACGCTTCCCAGCCCTAGAAGAACATATTTTAGTTACAAGAGGATCTCAATAAATTTTCCCTGAAGAAATAGAGCCAACTTCAAATTCTCTTGCCCATTTTATTGGTTAGAGAGGAAATATTATCTCAAGAAAGTTTGAGACTTGCCCCTAACGTCTCCAACCCTCATCTTAGAAAAGTAAGTAACAAGCCTGATGATCAGTTATCCCTCAATGAGAGGAAAAAAAGACAGTTTTTTAATGTCAAGCCTCACTAACTGGGGTGAGGGTCTGGGGAAAGCAGATATAATTTCTTTTTTATTTTTATTTTTTTATTTTTTATT